TATGCCCGATGGACCTGGGACATGTTTACAAAAGTAGTGGTAAATATTATAGAACCTTATCTACAGTGTGGTCGCACTGTGTGTACTAGCAATTTATATTCCTCCATGAAACTAGCTGACACTTTATTAGAAAGAAAAACCCACTTCGGAGGAACTTATCGTAAGAATAGAAGAGGCTCTCCTCGTGAGGTGGTAGCAAAGAAACTAAAATCGGGAGAAATTGTATCTCAAGAAAATGGTGTTATCGTGGTTATGAAATGGGTAGACAAAAGATACGTTTACATGATGTCAACTAAATTGAATAGTGCAATGAAAAGATCGGAAAAATTCAGAAAAGATGGGCACAAAATTCCAAAAGCCACAGATAATTGTATGAAAAGGTCATTGATATTGGAGACACGCTGGCCGCATAACATTCTTCGCTAACGAAGACAGGTGGAACTAAAAATTAGCCGATGCCCTATTTTTCGGCACTTGCATTGTAAATGCCTAACTTTTGTACAATACGAGCTCTAACAGTTGGAAAATGAAACTACATGTCTTCCGGAGGAAGACCCCTGAAACTTCTTGGAATACAGGAAGATCTTGCCAACAGAAAGGAGAAGAAAACTAACGATTTCCTCGAAGCAAACGACGCGGAAAACACATACTCGTGGTGCTACAATCGCACGTACTTTCTCGCCATTACTAATGGTTATGCAATACCATTTACACCATAATTTCTCTCCAATTTATATTTTGTAAAACTCATTTGTACATTTTGTACGAAAAATAAGCTGAATGCAAAAGAGTAAAATATTATATATAATAGTAATTATTAAACACTATATTGTAATATGCATATATATATACACGAAGGTTGCCTTTTATGTTTCGGGATTTGGCAACCCTGGTGTTGCAATCTGGCAACAGACAGCTCTATCGATGTTGGATGTTTTGGGGTTATACGTACTCAGAACGTTCTGGCATACGAGCACTATTTGTGTTGTTTACAGTAACTTAAAAGATTTATCTTGGCCCAAAAATGGAATTGAGTCGTTAACATTTTCGTGCGATTTTTTTATACAACTTTCGACGTGGATTAACTCAGCAACAGTGCATGGATGAACTTCAATTTTTGGCGATGAAGCTCCATCAAGGACCAGTGTTTATCGATGGTATGGTGAATTCAATCGTGGTCGTAGTTCACTCCAAGACGAATTTCGCGAAGGTCGTTCAAAATCAGTTGTTCCGAAAACCATTGATGCTGTGCGTGATCTGATATTGCAAGATCGTCATGTGACCTATCGTGAGGTTGAGACAACCTTAGGCATTAGTGGGGCCAGCATGCTTTCAATATTGCATGAACATTTGACTGTAAAAAAAATTGTTTGCGTTGGACCCCACACAATTTGTCAATCGCTCAAAAAAGGCTCATGTCGATTGGTCGAAAGAAATGCTCAAAAAAGACGATCGCGGTGCTTTGAAACACATCTATGACATCGTGATAGGTGATGAATAGTGGATTTACGCGTATGAGCCTGAAAGTAAACAGCAGTCGACTGTATGGGTGTTTCAAGACGAGCAAAATCCAACAAAAGGTGCTCGCGCACGAAGCACTTCTAAACAGATGGTCGCCTTGTTTTTCTAAAAATCTGGACATTTGTCACAGCCACACCACTAGAACAACGCAGAACAGTCAATTCTGAGTGGTACACAACGATTTGTTTGCGAGCTGTCTTCCAAGAAATTAGGAAACCCAACTGCCGAAGACGGATCACTCTTCACCACGACAATGCGAGCTCTCACACATCGGCTCAAACAACTGCATTTTTGAGCACCCAAAACATCGATTTGATGGGTCATCCGCCGTATAGTCCTGACTTGGCACCGAATGACTTTTTTATTCCCGTACGTACAAAACAAACTGAGAGGTCGACGTTTTTCATCTGAAGAAGCGGTTGCCGCATTCAGAATGCATGTTTTGGAGATACCGCAATCTGTGGCAAAAGTGCTTCGACAATTGGTTCAAACGCATGCAAAACTGTATAGATCTTCATGGGGAATATTTTGAAAAACAATAAAGTGATTTTCGATGATTAATATTTGTTTTTGTTCTCTAATCCTGAAATATAAAAGGCAATCCTCGTATATACAGTGTGTCCCATTTAACATGACAACTTCAAATAACTCAAAAAATACGCGATGTACAAAAAATTGAGCCGAGACCAAATCTTAACAGTTTTGAAGGGGGAATCATTTTATGCTGAAATCAGCACCCCCTGCCCCCAGCGGGTGGGGCAGTGGGCAACATTGAAATCTTAAATAGGAGCCCCCAATTTTTTTATTATTATTTTTTTTTTTTTTTTTCAGATTCGGATTCTACGGATAAAAATACATAAGTTTTGTCTGAATTTTTTTTTCTGATTTGTGATAGGTGAAGCTGTAATCGCCAAAATTTAATTTCCGAAGATTTCCCACTGTAATTGGTGGTTTAGAGTTTGCCCTCAGGGCACACCCGTCAATTTGTTGGTAGCGTCTCTCTATGGTCCGTGCCTGCAGTACTTCAGAGGCGATCCGATATTTATTAAACATTTACTTTTCTGAACTAACATTTCTCCTTGTTGCATCATGGATTATGTAAATATGCAAGAAAAAAATGAAATGATTTTCATTTACGGCGAAGCTGGGAGAAGTTTCGACGCTGCTGTTAATTCTTATGCTTAACGTTTTCCTGACAGAGTACGATCGCGTTCTTCTTTCGTTAGAATTGTTCAACTATTCTCTACTGACGGTAATTGGAGTGGTTTTGAGCGTGGTCGATTATTTCTGAGGGGTTAATAAAAATCAGTATTTTCTACGGAAGTCAATAAACTACTTTTAGCGTAACCTAGGAACAACGACGTGGACGTAGTAGTTTCCTGTTCCCTTCGGGATGCTTGTTTTCATTGAGTCCCCTTGCCCCTCACTATCGGAGTGCTGGTATTAGATGACAACAAATACCTCAGCATTTATTTAAAGTAAGTGCTCAAAATGATGGCCCTGAACCTCAATGCATTTATTGATTCGTCCTACAAATGAACGAATACATCGCATAAGCATATCTGGTGTATTCGCGGCACAAATGTCCCTTTCCCTTATTCGTATGCTATGGAGAAAGAGGTGTTCCCTCAACAGACCTCAGCCTCAACCACAGGTACTGCACATGCCTAGCCAATGGAGAATTAATCACAAAACCTACTAGCGAAGACTTAGACCTGCTTGTGACTGCAAAGATGTGTAGTAAACTATGGAAAACTTCACTCATGAGTGACCACTCAGACCCTTCAGGGGATCATCGGTGAACTTCCTGATGATGAGACCAGAAGCTGGGTAGTAGCTAGACTTTTTGAATCTTCAATTTTTATTTACTTTCATCAATAGTAGATGCAATATGACAGTAACTACAACTGTATAATATTGAAGTTTGTTTTAGAACTTGTTCATTTGTGCCTCTTATGAAAGCCTTTTGCTAAATAAATAAAAATAAGGAAAGAAGAATGTGACGGGGCATATTACACACACAATTTAAATTCAGATTTTATATTTTACTTGCATTCAAATTCCTCAGTACAATTCTCTTAGAATTCCCTCCAAAGAAATAGAAATACCTCAAATACAATTTATCACAAAAAAATTCTCAAAACAAATTATGTGTCAAATAATACAAGCACCAATATTTTAAATTGCAGGTCCTCTCAAACTTTTAATTGTTTATGAACTTACAAGGAGCCTAGAAATAATTTAGAGCACCTTCATAACAACACTTGATATCTTAAAAATAAAACCTTTTCATTAGAGCATTGTGAAATAATGTCATAAATAACAAGTCACCTAATCAATGGTATAAGAAAAGTTTTAATTGCAATAGATTGTATGCCAAATTTACTGAAGTTTTCAGGAGAAACAACAAAAAGCTGCTCTATCTCACCCTGTCATGACTATCGCTTTCACAAATGTACAATCCTGATTTGCAGTCTTTCATTAGTCAGTCGACTTACAACAAATTGCAACTCCTGCAGTTCTCCAGATTGATCATAATGATGAAATAAACAAAAACAGATTATTTTTGACATACAATCTATTCCAGCTACAATGATGATGCATAAACATATTATATTCTGAAAACAAAACATCCAGTACACTACTTGATTAGACAATAATTGGTCGTTCTCACAAAAAATAAATATGAAATGTTTTCACATCAAAAATATTTTTGGTTTTATTTTCCCTTCATACAATAAAATACATTTTTAACCTTTCTCACTAAAGAGCTACTTGCAGAGTGACAGAAATGGAAGGGAGTTTAGATCACGTGTCAAAATGTCCACAATCATAAAATAGTAGTTGAACTAAACATTATTATTCACTTAAATAGGACCAAAATTCAAGTTAACATTTTCATGAATTTACTTAGCAAGAGGAAAGTACTTTTATACTGGAAACATCCCTATCATATATTTAATCAAGATTGTTCTGCATTTCACAGCAAAATCTTAACATTTTCCCATTTTCAAGGCACGATGATGAAAATATCTCATATCATACTAGGAATAATAAGTACAAATTGCAATTTTTAAAAGGATGTGTATTTCATGAATGCAACATATGAAAAATATGAAATTTCATTTCTAACACATTTAAAATAATACCTCCAATCAACATTTTCTACTTGAGAAAAAAAATCTCTTGACACTCATGCCATTTTTTGGTGAAAGAATTAAGTAATCCAAATATATATTCACAAAGCATGTTTAATACAATGATATCTAAAAGATACAAAGATATTTAAAATTGAATTTGATTAGGCAAAATATTACGCCCAAAATAGATGTTTCCATTAACATTGATGAATATTTAGACTTGTTTAGCTCAAACAAGTTTAAATTTGCAACAATAAAAAACATACATATTTGTACTAATATTGGCAATGTATCAAGTTTCCCTGGAATGTGGCACTATTGATTTGCAATCCTTTGCACCTACTGACATTGGGTGTGGTACTGTTGAATCATTTCCGCTCCAATATCTCTTCCTTCGAACAAAATTTTAACATGAATATCCTCATTCACTATCCTCATGACATGAAGCTCTACTTCATGCTTATCCAATAATCTGGTCAATAAAGTTTGTGCAATATCTCTAGAATTTTTATTTTTTAGTCTCGTTAAATCAATGGTATCCAAGAAGAATCTCATTGCTTGAAAAGGTAACTCACAAAAGTCTTTTCTTATCTCCCTAATATAAAATTTATGCACCGAGTCAACATTTCCATAGTCAACAAAAAATACATCTACATTTCCATTATCAGCAGGAGATGCCAACAATCTAGCTCTATACCATTGTTTATCTTTATTGTAACGAACAACAGCAATAGCTCCTTCACATAACCGTTTTGACAATTTCAACTGACCACTTTGTACAGCAGAAGTAATTTCCTTACTCATTTTCATTAAAACCTCATTAGTGCTTTGAAGTTTTCCCTCATAATGAATTTTAGAATGAACAGCATAAAACAAACTAATATTCACAATTTCTGTCATTACAACAGGTAACTGCTCACCCACTTCTAGCAAGCCTCCAGTATTATGATCAAAATAAGGCATAATTTCCACATTTTCCTGATTACAACAACTGTCAATGGATTCACTGTCTGAAATCGTTTCATCTATACCTGAATCAATAATTGGATAATACACAGTATGCGAGTTTTCAGTTTCTTTTTCTTTGGGACTACCCAATTCAGAAATAGCACAGCCCTGCTCAACCAAATAATCATTAATGCACCAAGTGCTTTCATTTTGAATATCAAATAGAAAAACACAAAAAGATTTTGAATCTAAGTGATTGACAACACAGATTTCATACACAGTATTAAAATCCAACAAATTTGAAAATACTGTTAAGGACTTTTCTGGCCACGAGTTGTTGTCAACAGGTGGTGAAATAAATGCTAAAGCACATTTTTCTGCGAACACTGGATATTCATAGAAATCACTTCGCAGGGGCTGGATTAAACAAAACAGCACAGTTGCATTTATTCCATAATCCACAAAAAATACTGAAACTTCATCGGAAAAATCATCAAACCAATCGATAATTCTTGCTCTAAGCCAACGATCTTCAAAGTTCACAGCACAACATTCAGAAATTAATTGTCTTGCTTCTTTCTTAGATTTAAAATAAATATTACTGACAGAACAATAATGTGAAAGTTCTTCATGCATATTATCAATAAATGAATTTTCTTTTGAAATTATATGGACATAAAACTCACTAGGACTCACTACACTTGCCATGAAAACATAATATTTTTTCTTTGGTTCTATCATGTGTGAACGTGTCTTGAAATTCAATTCATCATTAAGTTTCAATGAATTGGGTAAAATATTTTGTTCTCTGGGAAGTGAACATTTGAGAAATTCTGTTTTCTGCTCCAAAATAAGTGAAGACCTTTTTGCAACTTCTACGCTGATTTGATTGATTGTAGACTCTTGAGCAGTAGAATTATTATAACTTTTTTCTTTACTATGAACTACTTTTGGATCTAACATTGATACAGCTTCATCAATGCTACTGCCAGTAATGTAACATTGTTTAATATCTTTCAACTTTGGATAGACATAATTTAAAATCCATTCTGATACATCAATCACACAATCAGAATAAATCTGAATCTGAACAACGTGATTCCAATCACCAAGAGTATATTCAAAATCTTTGACATTAACACAGCATGGACCTCTTAACATCACATTTCTAAATAAATTCTCAAGATTAACACACCAAAAAAGAGGTTTTTTTGAGATGTTCCACAATGAACATCTAATAGCCCTGGCTGGTGGCAAAGAAAACATTTCTTCTAATATCCACAAGTCTGTTACTGAAACTAAAATCAAATCTCCTGTATCAACATCTGTAACTAAAATGTCCCCAGTGTTCTGTTCAGAAACTCTACCAATGCGAACTCTATAATATTCTTCATTATATTTTGCAATAGCAAAATCATTTTCTTCAGGTACATCAGGGAACTGAATTAATAGTCCACGTTCTGCCCAATCAGCCATTTTCTTCTTCAGTATATCTATCTCGTGCATTGACACATAACTAAGGAAGAAGTCTGAAGGGTCCTTTCCTCGAAGAAATGACATTCCCAAAGTTTTACCTTTTTCCAAAAAACATTTTATAACTGCCGATTTCACAGGTTGTTCACAAGATTTTAAAACTTCACATTTTAATATATCTTCCTCCTCATGAAAAGCATCTTTCACATTATTATCAGAATCATCTACTTGGTTTTTAAGAAATTTCTCTGTCGGAAAATTATCATCATTCTCAGAATTTCTAGGAGCCATTTCACTGTTAACGGAAGTCCTATTGAATATTACCCCATTTGAATCTTCAGTTCTTCTATCATCCAAATCTTCCCTTACACTATTAGAATCAATGTCACTTTCACGTCTACTTTGATTATTATTTATCACTTTTACTTCAATTTCAGAATTTACTTTCATGCTTTGAAAATCAGCTACTTGTTGATCAGATGTAGAACTATCAATATCAGAACTATCTTCTCCTTTATAAATAACATAAGGGTCTAAATCTTGAAAGACTGTTTCTTCCGTAGTACCAGATAAACCAAATAATTTTATCTTTTCTACCGCTGGAGTCACAAAAGAATTTATCCACTCCGTTAAATTAACATCCAATGATGTACTGTCATGTGCATCCACATCCACAAGAAATGTAGGAATTACATCGGGAATGATGCTCTTCACAGTAATAACCAAATTGCATTTGCTTAAACAATTTTTAAAGAATGTACTCAAGTGGTTGGTCCAGTCTACTACACCCTCTACACCCCAAAGTTTACAAAGAATAGCTTGAGGAGGAAATCTCAATAAGTAGTCTTCCATTTCCCAAATTTTATGTACATTCACTAATTTCAAAGTAGCTGTATCTATATCAACAGTTACAACAATTTGAGACGTAACAGATATAACACAACCTCTAAACACTCTGTCTACATAGCCAATAATAAACTGGCCAACAACAGGAATTGATTCTTTGCGATGGAGCTCATTTAATTGTAGTTTCCTGTTGATTTCAGCAAGATGGGAAAGCAACTCGGTATTGGAATAATATCCCAACCAAAATTGAGATGGGTCATCCCCATGCAAATACTTCATTTCAAGAATTGAATCTTCATCAATGTCATAAAGTTTTTTAATGCTTTCTATATTATGTTCACTAATGTTGTAATCAGTCACATTATCAGTATTGGTACAAACAGTCTTCTTTTCTTTAGAGCACACTTCACATAATGCTTGCTTTTCCAATACATCACCATCATAAAACACTGAATAATTATTCTCAAAACTACTAAGGACATTACAAAAATCAGATCTTCTTGCAAGGGTTATTTCTAGTTCACAATTCAATTTCACGAGATTGTTTATTAAATGATCTATTTCAGTAACAGCATCTGGGTAACAACGAAGAAAATGTTCAATTTCATGAATTGTTTCCTGAAAGGCTACCACAGAACTTCCTCTTCTAACAACATCTCGCACATTTGACAACACAGATTCCCCTTCTCTTTTCAAAAGCTCAAGTCTATTTTTCAGTTCCATTAACCGTGCTTGTGTCACGTTACTCATTTTAAATACAGACAAATCAGATAATTAGACAAAAAACAAACGCACCCTTTTTTATAGAAAAGAAATTAGAAAATGTTTTTACCGAAATGACGAAACTATATTCATCTACACACATAACCTCAAACAAACACATCACGTCAAACTCACGCTTTACCTGCTCACCAGCTGTTCATGCTGCTTTACTGTATACAAACGCGCCACATAATCCTGCAACTAGGTTACGTTACGATTGTAACGTTCCAAGTGAATAAATTCGGCATTTCAAGTGAATACAGCGCGTTTTTCAAATCAGTTAATTTAAAGCAGCGCAGATAAAACGAATGATGTTAAAATAAGTATAAATCTGACGTAAATGAAGTGTGTAACAGTCATATTAAATAAGTTTAATGGCGTTTACGTGAAATGAAAGACACATACACTTCATTAAATCAATTATATTTTCCTAATTTATTTTCTTGTACTCTTGTTTTCTGAAAGTTAACTTATGGTATAACGTTATAGTAGTTAACGAAACGAGTGTATAAATAGGCGTATAATTGCATGATGAGGTAAGATTAAAGAAACGAGTGACGATAGGAGCGAGTTTCTTTATTTACGAGTGCAATTATACGCATTTATACACGTGTTACGTTCAATCTTTTTTTCGTTTTCATTAAAATATAATTTTAGTTTTGAGAAATACAAGCATTTTGTTACCAGTTAACGCATACATTGGATGACGTTATGTTCTTTCTGTCCATGGCCAATACCTTCTGTTACTAGTTAGTAATAAAAGGTATTGACGTGGCGCACGTTCTGAACGAGATCCATTTTTGAGGACCTTGCATTGTATAGCCGATTTATGATCACCATAGTCGCTGGATAAGAAAACGGTGTTCAAATCGAAGATATTGATTATATTCAGGATCAATTATTAGAGGAATCTGAGAAAACAATGCCAACATTACTTCTTAACCCAAGTGAAGACACGTATAATAAAATATTTATAAATCTAAGAAAATGGAAAAGCGAGTCTCTTCTGATTCTGACAAGAATTAGCTTGCATATTTTTCAAAAAAAGTTAATAAAATAAAGTTTACATTTTTTTCACATTTGTAATATGTTTACTATATGGTGTAATATTTTATGGTGTTTCATTAGTCAACTAACACAGTCAACTAACCAACACGCTTGAAGCCGTACTTATCCATGGTGGAGAATTATTTAGCCATGTTGCATGTGAAGAACAATACCGATATTTCACACTGCAGCAGTCAAGTCTAAGTGGGATAACATTCTCCAACTTACTCTAAATTATACTCTAACATTATTAATATACTTGTTTATAATTGTAATTATACTATAAATATTAATATTTGTAAGAAGAAGTACTGATATTGACTGATTGAAGTATTGATATATACTTATTTGTTTATAAATGTTTCAAACTGATGTTCTACGAAATCTGTGATCTCTAATTCTGACTCCATAGTGACTTAATTACGGTATTTTTTCCTTTTTCCTGAGTGCTGGTAGGAAGTTGTGGAGTTTTAATTTCACGCACTGATAATCAACGATTTTTCATGACATCGAGTATATTTAATTTACTAAAAGAAAAAAATATTTATATACATATAATATATATATATATATATATATATATATATATATATATGTATATTATATTATATTAAAGTGCATAAAGAATGTAGTTAGTTATTGATGAATACGTAAAATGATGTATTCGACAAATTCGGCGAAAAAAGCCTGAACTACTCTTATATTGTTATTATTCACAATTTTCAAAGCAGTATTAAACCACGAGTGCAAATCGAACCCGTAATATTCAGTTTTACGTCTTGTTGGACAGACTAATAACGTCGGAAATGTTTTCCACACTGCGCATCTCTTCCATGATGTGATCTCGTTATGATGTATCAAATGTGTTATATAAAGTAAATTTTACAAAAAAAAACTTTACATATGGAATTATTATCTAAAACTATTTTTCGTGGGGAAACGTCTCGATTGTAAAGGCAATTACCTGCAAAAAACACGTTTTCTAGAGAAAAATGTGAAAAATTGATTTTGTTTTAAAGAGAACTCTAAACATATTTTTACTTTCTTGCACTTACTAACGTAAGAAGGAAATGCATTGTAAACGTGCGCCGAAAAAGGCGAATTTTCGACACAAAATATCTTATTGTCGGGCTCTAGTAACTAGCTCTACTAACAAGTTGATACATCTAGTTGTTAAATATAGAAAACGAACACGTTGTGTAGAATGCTTGATATCGAAAAATCGATTGATGCCAAAGCGAGTGTCTGTCTGTCCGTCCGTCTGTGAACGTTAGCACATAAACCGTTCAGCCGATTTTCTCCAAAATTGACATTCCCCAATCGATCTGGCTGATGATGTCGCGGCTACTGGAATTTGAAACCTATATTCGAATTTTGGGTGCCCTCGATGGCACGTTGGTTAGCTTACTCTCTTTCCACGGCGCAACCCCGGGTTCGATTCCTGGTCGGGGCAATAAATAATTGTGCGCTTTCCTTGCAATGTTATGACGATGACAATGTATGACGATGAGAAATATCTCTTCTCAGGTTGACAATACCAGCGATACTGCATGGAGATGGCTATGTGCTGACCACACGTATCCCTTAACCCATGGCCGTAAGGCCGAAACGCTGCTGGAAGTCATTAGCTCGTTGTGCCAATGTACAAGTACATTTGAATTTGGAGGGTAATTTACATGAAGCCCCTTGGATATTTTAAAAAATGGCTCCATTTTTTAAATTTAATTTTGTTGTTGGTTAGTGGTAATGACGTTTAAGAGAATCTTCTATGCATAAGTCGACTTCAGTTCAATCGTGGTTTGCGGAAAAACAAGATATTCAGGTTGTTGACTGACCACCATGCGCACCAGATCTGAACTCTATTGAAAATACTTGGGCTGAGACAAAACTCACCATGGCCGAAAACTGGCCTAATCCGGGACCTAACAACGCCGATGCGCTCTGGCATCTAATCCAAGAAGCCTGGGAGGAGGTCGCTCACAGTCAAAACTATGCGGCGAGACTTGTGGATTCTTTCCCACGTAGGATGAAAATGACAGAAGAATCTGAGGGTTTTTGGATGCCTTATTAATGTATTCCTTGTATTTTCTAGAATAAGATAATTATGAATAAACAATTCATGTAAACAATCTAGAAAAAAATTGGAGAATGAAAAACAAATATTAGTAGAAACAAAAGAGCCCCAAAAGAAAACTATTGTATTTCAATTACTTGCGTAAATATTATTGTTTCAGATTTCAGACGTTTTAAATGTTTCCAACGTATTTAGACCATTAAAAATAATATTGATACATGGCGCTTCTTCTATCAAACGTAATTAAAACACGAATTACTGAAATTCATATACTGTCTATTACTTGCATACTGAGTCTCACCAACTATGGGCCATAACTTCTACACGATTACTGATATCGACTTACAGTTTTCGCTCAACAATGTGGAATCATCGCGCAAATGATATGGTTTGAAATATTTTTAGTTTTCGACAAATTTAATGATATTTTAAAGATGAATGCAATGGTGTAACTTATGTTCATTTTCTGATAGTAATTTGTGCATAAAATTATACTTTCTGTCCTGATATTTTAAATTTAACGTGCAATTCTGTCTGTAGCTGCCGTCGCAACTGTCGCTTTTGGCGAACGTGACCTTCGCAGCCTCTCCCCTCTCCCCTTAAAAGGTTCGGCGCCGCGAAGGCAACCTTCCTCAAAGGAGACAGTTGAAAGAGTTGCTACAGGAAATTGTGTAGTTTTAATTTAAAATTACGGAAAGTATTATTTTTTTCTTAAAATACTATCAAAACATTAACATTATTACATTTGTCTATTTGTGATCTATATATTGCTAGTGAGATACATACATGGTTCCATTTGAAAAATTAAAGATGATTAAATTTCTTGAAAACAAAATATTTTGAACAATATCCCTAGGAACATTACTTAACCAAAAATACCACATTGTTGAGCGAAAAATACATTTCGATATCGTGGACCGTTTAGAAGTTATTGGGGTGGCCCGTAGTTGGGGAAACTGCCTGTATACACACAAAAGCTGTTGAACAGATAACAAATAAAAAGAATAATGGATTTTTCTGCATTCCTCGACAAAAATGGCGGTTTATTTTAGTTTAAATTCTGAAAATAAGTTTGGCCCCCAACAATTGAACTTATGCTAATGAATGAGTAACTGAACAAATTGGAAATTAATTCGAGTTTCTAGAATTCTTTCTTGATACGTGATTCCTTTCCTGAGGTGCATTCTCTTGTCTTCCTGTTAATGTTGATTTTTTTTATTTAACGATCGCAATATCTGTATATTGTGGCCCTCAAAATTGAACCTACACCTTTACTGTACACCTTTAATGATACCATAATTCTTCTCATATGAATATTTCTGAAAATAAAATACGTATTTTTGATGTGTGAGGTTTTCTGGAATAACTAGTGCAATTTGAAAGCAGAAAATGCTTTATTAGGTGTAAAATTAAATATTTTGTGTGATACCTACAAGTAAGCGTTGCACAGAAATGAATGTTCGCCACCACATGCGCACTTTGAAACGAACTCGTTGAAATGTTTTCTTGGGTAAAACGTTGTGACAAACAGATTAGTTGATGGTCAGATTTGCAAAGAGAATCAGCGAATTGAAATTGACCCCGAAAAGGGAAAGGACGATGGAAGAAGTAGACTTGTTGTGAATTTAGCCATGAAACCACTACGAGGTATTGCCATGACAATGGGAAGAAATTCAACTATTCAAAATATGGTAGGCAAATTCAAGTAAGATGGTAGATTAATTAATAAAAGTGATAGAGGCCGAAAACCGATACTCAATGAACAAGATAAAAGAAATATTGTCAATCAAAAGTTGTTTTTAAAATGTCTCTGTGGATGCTTTCAACAACAGGGAGACCCGAGTACACAGATACCGTTCGAAAGACA